TTATTATTATTATTATTTGTTGGCATAATAAATTTAACAGGAAACGTTCCGATCCTTCTTACAATTGGACGTTGAAGTAATGGCTTATTATCAACTAAATCAGTCAATCAATCAATTAATCAAATAACATTTTATAATTATAATAATAATAAAAAATCAACTTATTATTGTTGTTGTTGTTTAAACAGATTTTTTTAATACCTGTTGACCACGAAAATTTAAAATAAACAATTGTCCCTTCTCTAAGACCTATTATACATAACCAAAACTAAACTATTAATAAATATGTTTAAAAAAGAATCAAAAGAATTTTTATTTGTTACCTATTAAAAAGTATGCCTTTTCAAAGTTACCAATAATGCAAGCGGATTCTGGTATATTAACTTTATTAACAGAATAGTTTTCTAAAAATTAATTAATTAATATTATCAAACAATAATAATAGTAAAAACAACACTTTGGTAATAAAATCATAATAATTGATTGATCGATTTACCTAAAGTCTCTTCATGCAATAAATTAAATATATTTTTATCGTCAATAGACAAAATTTTAATACATGGTTTAAAGGTTCCAATAATACAGATTGGAAAAGGAATAAGTTCACTAATTAATGAATAATAATAAAAACATTAATTAATTAATTAATTATTCTCTAATTGTTGTTGTTATTTGTTAATTACCAAGGAGCAATACAATTAATAAAACATGATTGACTATCCAATATATATTCTCCAATTTGAGTATAGCAAATACCATTTCTAATAAAAGAAATAAATTTAATTATTATAAATGTGTTTTTTTAAATAAAAAATTTAATCAACATATCAATAACTTACAAATCTTCTTTATTTTTATCGTAATTTACTTTAAGAGCAATTAATATACTTTTGCCGTCAGATGAAGATAAACTGCAAATAATGATTGATTGGTATACACTTGCAACTTCAATTATTGTATTCTTGGGTGGAATCCAACGTGAGATTAAATTCCCTTGTACTTTTCAAAGAAATAATTAATAATAATAATTATATCATTAATAGAGTAAAAAAAAGTTTGAAAGAATAATCAACAATCAACTAAATATCTAGAAGATAACCTAAATTCTCAGATGGTGATGATTCCTCCTTCATCAAATCAAGATTTCGGCAAATTTTTATCATATTAACTGCATTGATTTTAAATAAGGATTGGTGGGGATAATTACACTAATAAAACACATATATCTTGATAATCTCCAACCAATTTTTAAAAAATTAAACCAACCCTTATTAAAAGGGAAATTTAATTTCATTAGGTTCAATCATTCCTCATTTACATTACGAAAACAGATTAGAGAAGAAACCCTATATATATTAAATAAATATTTTTCTTATCTCCTCCCTATGAAAATTTGCATCATTGAACAATGTACTATCCAATATTAATTGAAATATACAAAACGAAAAACGCCATATAATGATGCCTGGAAATGAAGATGAATCAGTTAAAAAAATGAATAAGACACAGTTCACACTTTATATATAATTGATATAATAATAATGGAAAGCCCAATTTACATGTCTATTTATTATTGTCTACAACAGGTTCTCTCTACAGTCCACTCTTTATAATGTACTGAAAATTTAAGTCCAATTTATATGTATATATATAAATTATTATTAATATTATTGTCTATAACAGACATTTTTTCCTAAACCAAATGATCCATTATAGAGAAAAAAATTAATATAATAAATATTTTCTAGATGTTAAATTAAAAATTTTTAATTTTAAAATGAATTACTTTGAAC